AAGTAGACCCACAGTAGTAGTTTTTTTTTTATAACGAAGTTAGATACTTTGTTAAAACTTTTCAACTGTGTTTCAAAGGCGATATTAAAAATTTAAAAAAAAAAAAAAAAAAAAATGGACGGTGGATACCAAGAAAATAATGAATATTGCAATTACCGATCTGCATTATCAACCAGATATGCATCGACAGAAATGAAATATAATTTTAGCGATATGAAAAAATTTTCAACTTGGAGAAAACTATGGGTTTATTTAGCAACTGGACAAAAAGTAAGTATATTCACTTGAATTAAAGTGATTATTAATGACATTTGATTAAAATAAGCTATAAGTTTAATAATGACACTCGCGAAATTAATTAAAATTAATTAATTAAATTTTTTTTTTTTTTCAGTCACTCGGAATAAATATAACCGACGCACAAATTAAAGAAATGGAAGCAAATTTATATAATATAGATTTTGTCAAAGCTTCAGATGAAGAGAAAAAAACTAGGCATGATGTTATGGCTCATGTTCATGTATTTGCCGAATGTTGTCCACTAGCAGCACCCATTATTCACCTTGGAGCAACTTCATGCTATGTTGGTGATAACACTGATTTAATTATAATTAGAGATGGTTTTAAAATTTTGTTACCCAGATTAGCAGCTTGTATTCAAACTTTATCCCAATTTGCTCTCGATTACAAAGATTTACCAACTTTGGGATTTACTCATTTACAGTAAGGATATATCCCTTTGAGAGAGAAAAAAAAAAATTTTTATTTTTTTCATATTTACTTATTATTTTAGACCTGCTCAATTGACTACTGTTGGAAAGAGAGCATGTTTATGGTTGCAAGATTTGTTGATGGATGAAAGAGCATTGAGAAGAGCTTTAGAGGATCTTAAATTTAGAGGTGTCAAAGGTACAACAGGTACCCAAGCATCTTTCATGCAACTCTTTGAAAACAATTCTGAGAAAGTTAAAAAATTAGATGAGTTTGTAACGAAAGCTGCTGGATTTAAAAAATCATATACTGTCACAGGTCAAACTTATTCTAGAAAGGTTGACATTGAATGTGTTAATGTTTTATGCAGTTTGGGTGCTAGCGTTCACAAGGTATAATACTCTTGTAATTATTTTATTTTCATTCGAAATAATAATTTAATGAATCATTAGAGAGTTGGCAATTTATGTACTATCTACAGTAATCTTTAGTAAATTTAGTAATTGTACAACAATTTTTAACCTAAAATTAGAAATGTTACTGATTTAGATTTGTTCAGATATTAGAATTTTGGCAAACATGAAAGAAATAGAAGAACCTTTTGAATCAACTCAAATCGGTTCAAGTGCCATGCCTTACAAAAGAAATCCAATGAGAAGTGAAAGATGTTGTTCAATTGCCAGACATTTAATTACTCTAGCTAGTAATCCTTTAAATACTGCTGCAGTTCAGTGGTTTGAAAGAACATTGGATGATTCTGCAAATAGGTAATAATTTATCGTTTGTTTGTTTTTTTTATAAATTGTGTTTACAACTTTTGTTTTTTTTTTTTTTTTTTTTTTTTATAGGAGAATGACTTTATCAGAAGCATTTTTGTCAGCAGACAGCATTCTTTTAACTTTGCAAAATGTTTTCGAAGGTTTAATCGTTTATCCTAAAGTTATTGATAGACATATTAAAGAAAAATTACCATTTATGAGTACAGAAAATGTTATTATGGCAATGGTTAAGGCTGGAGGAGATCGTCAAGTAATTAAATTTTTTAATTAATACATTTTTAATAAATAATTTGATTTAAATTAAAATTTTTTTTTTTTTTGTCAAGGAATGCCATGAGAACATTAGAGTTTTGTCACACGAAGCTGGTAGAGAAGTTAAAGAGTTTGGTAGAGCAAATGATCTTGTAGAAAGAATTAAAAAAAATCAGTATTTTAAACCAATTATAAATCAACTGGATTCATTGTTAGATCCTTCAACATTTATCGGCAGAGCTCCTCAACAGGTTAGCATTAAATTAAATTTTTTTTTTCGTTTTTTTTTTTTTTTAAATTTCGAATAAAAATAAAAATTTCTGTATTTAAAATTTAGGTTACTGAATTTATTAAAGAAGAAGTCCAACCTATTTTAGCTTTATACAAGGGACAAATAGGAGAAAAAATTTCTTTAAACATTTAGGCAAAAGATTACATAAGTTAAATAACTTTTTTACTATTTAGTTTAGAAATTTTTTTAAAATTTGATATGAAAAGAGTAGATGGTTAATAAATAATGTTATAAAATTTTTTAAACTATAATTAGTAATTATTATTATAATAGATATTAAAAAAATTTTTCAAATAAGTCTATTTTTTTTGAAAGTTTTGTCTTACAAAAGCAATTAATTAAAAACAACAGCTTAATTTAAAATAAATGATTAATTTATCATCTATGAAAATTTTAAGAGTGTTAAATGATTATCTGACCTGAAGGAATCATTTTCTCATGCTTTGCAAATATATCAGTTATCAAGGTTTTATTTATTTTTGTTTTTCCTTAACCTTTTTTGATATATTAAAAATTAAAATTTTTTTACAATTATTTATTTTCACACAAAAAATCCTCGTTATTCATTTTTTATAATTACAAAAAAAAAAAAAAATCAATTTTAAGAAATGAAAATTTTTCCCTCCAAAAATTTTCAAAGAGAATTTTGTCGTCTTTTTTCGGATTAGAACTTACCAATACTATTTTAATTCTTTTTTTTTTTTATTAAGACGTTTTTATATTTTTTATTTGAATTTTAATTCTGTATAAAATAATTATAAGTATTTTTTTAAATTTATTTTGAAAAAAATTATTTATTCATTATGCTTTTCACCGTTAAAAGTTTATTTTTACCGTCTCCGCAAAAGGTAAAATTTTTTTTTTTTTTCTTTTTTTTTTTTTTTTTTTTCACATACCTGGTTAATTTTATTTCAAACTAAATTTAATATTTAAACACAAATATATATAATAAATCAGAATTTTTTAATTTAAATTATTCATTATATAAATAATTAAAAGAATTTTTTAATTGCGTTCTTAAAAAATTTTATTGGATTCTCATAATTTAGTATTGACCTTTATTGAGAATCTCAATAAAAAATTTATTGAGTTTTATTTATTGATTGAAATTTTATTGAATATTAATTTGTTGAAACACTAATTAAGTACATCATTTATTTTTAGACTTTGCCAATTTTAAAAAATTTATCAAGAAATGCATCTTCCTCTGCATCTGCTTCTTTTGAAACAAAACCTTATAAACTTCACAAGCTAGACAATGGACCATCAACTAATATAACAATTGATAGAAATGAAGCTCTTAAATTTTACACAGAAATGAATACAATTAGGAGATTAGAAGCTGCAGCTGGTAGTTTATACAAGGAAAAAATTGTCAGAGGGTTTTGCCATTTATATTCAGGACAGGTAAATCATTTTTTAAGTTTTTCATTTTACGTCTCAAATTAAAATTTAACCAGTATTGGGCAGGAAGCTTGTTGTGTAGGCATGAGAGCTGCCATGAGAAGTCAAGATGGAATTATAACAGCCTACAGAGATCATGGTTGGGCTTATATAATGGGAATATCAATCAAAGAAATATTATGTGAACTTACAGGAAAAAAATTAGGCTGTGCAAGAGGTAAAGGAGGAAGTATGCATATGTACTGTGACAAGTTTTTCGGTGGAAATGGAATCGTCGGTGCTCAGGTGAGTTTTGCTAAAACAATTATTTCTATTTAAAAATTCACTTTAAAATTACTTTTTACTTATTGTAGCATGTATAAATTGTATTGACTCACATTAATGACCTGATTTTTATTTATTAACAGGTGCCTTTGGGAGCTGGTGTTGCCTTTGCTTATCAATATTTAAATACAGGAGGAGTTTGCATAGCTCTTTACGGAGATGGAGCTGCGAATCAGGGCCAAGTATTTGAAGCATATAATATGTCTGCTTTATGGAAATTACCTGTAATATATGTATGCGAAAATAATGGCTATGGAATGGGAACAAGCGCAGAGAGAGCTTCTGCATCTACTACATATTACAGTAGAGGAGATTATATTCCTGGAATTTGGGTAAGTAATATAAAATTAAAAGTCTTGAATATCATTTGAAAAAATTACTATTTAAAAAAAAAACCTTTTTTTTTAGGTTGATGGTATGGATGTACTTGCTGTTAGAGAAGCGACAAGATTTGCCATAGATCATTGCTGTGCAGGAAAGGGCCCTTTGGTAATGGAAGTAGCAACTTATAGATATAGCGGTCATTCAATGTCAGATCCAGGTACAAGTTATAGGACTAGAGAAGAAGTTCAAGAAGTTCGACAAACTAGAGATCCAGTAACGTCTTTCAAAGAAAAAATAATAAATGCAGGATTGGTCACACTCGATGAATTAAAAGTAAACTTTTCGACATTAATACATAAAATTATTTATTTTTATTTGAAAATTTGATTTTATTATCAAAAAAAAAATTTTTTTTTTTAAGAAAATTGATCTTGAAATTCGTAAGACGGTAGATGAAGGTGTACAAATAGCCAAAGCAGAAAAAGAAGTAGATCCTACCGAACTGACAGCCGATATTTATTCTGAACCTTTAGAAAATGAAATAAGAGGAACCATTGTATTCAACAAACATCCACATTTGCGAATTGGAAAAGCCGTTAATAAATGAAAATAATTAATCGGTTTCCGGTATAATTTTTAAACGAAGACAATAATTTCGATTTTTATAAAATCGTTAAGTAGTCTTTACGATTACGTTTCTTAATTAGGAAAAAAAAAAAAAAATATAATGAAAAAAATTTTAATAATCTGATGACAGCAGAAGATTTTTTATTAATCCGCCATATTAAGATTTATTAAATTTTTTTTCTTTTTTTTTTTTTAATCTATAAAATTTAAAAAAAAAAAACGATATTTCAATATTTTATTTATTTATTTTATACATTTTAAATTTATTTTTTTATTTTTTTTAATTTTGTTATTGTTCTTTTTTTTTAATGAAAAACAAAATCATAATAGTTTATTAATGAATTTATTTTACAAGGGAAAAATTATAATCAAAGTCTGCATATTATTTATTTATTTTATTTTTTTTTTGTTTTAATGTATTATTATTGTTTTAATCATAAGTTAATATATATATAAATTATAGGACAAGTGTTTAAAAAAGAAATTTTTTTTTAATAAATATTTTGTTTCCAAATGTAAATAATGATGATAATAATAAAAACTCTTTGTTTTATTATTTATTTTATTTAAATTAGAATTAAATGACGTATTTAAAATAAGAACATGATGATAATTATTTATTTTTTTGTCGAGAGATAGATGGAATAATTTAGTTAATTAAAATTTTATAATAATAATAATTAAATGAATGTGATACGTCTATAATTTTAATTAATATATTTTCATGGTAATAAAATACAATAAATAATAAATGTTAATTTTAAAAAAGCATTGTTGAATATTACGCAGTTAATAATAATTTGTTTTTCATTTTATTTAATTAAGTGTAAAATTTCAAACGGTTAGTTATAAATAAAATAACGGATTAAAGGCCGTTCGGTTATTAAAAAAAAAAAACAAATAAATTAAATTAAATACATAAGTTTATAAGTGTTTCATAATCGGTTTTTTTTTTTTTTTTTTTATTATTAAATTGTACGGGGGGCAAAGATGATGTCAAAGGTCAATATTAATCTTTAAAAAAAAATATTCTGTTGGTTCTGTTTTATATTAGCAGTCGGGTTTAAACTTGTTAAGGTAATAATAATAATAATAATAATAAATAATAATCATTTCATTCACGTGAGAATTACGTTTACTGAGGTAAGAATATTGTTATCACAAATATTATTATCTAATTGTTATAAATAATTTATTTCAACAACAAAAGAAAATATTTTTTAAATAAAAAAAAAAAAAAATTTTTTTTTTGATGTAAACTTTGAACGGATGATCTGAACATATTTTACGTATTATTTCCATTTTTTTTTTTTTTTATTTAAAATGTGGGGGGCTAAGTGATGGAATTTAAATTGAAAAATGTTTGTTATTTCAGATGACTGTCGTTCATTACTACAGAGTTCCAGGATTGAGCGAGGGTGCAACATCAGTTAAATTGGATTCGATAAAAGAAATATGTAGCGATGCTCAAGAACTTATAACCGAATCTTGTTTTAATGTTCAATTAAAGGAAAAACTATCAGGCGAAGATGAAAAAAAATTAAAATGGATTTTGGGATCTCCTCACAATCCGGAAACTCTTAAAACTTCAACATTTTTAGATTCTAATAAAGGAGATGTTATTGAAATCGGACCTAGGTTTGTTAAAGTATTTCTCCCCCCACCCCTCCCCAAAAAAAAGAAATTATTAAAAAATAATAAAGACATGAATTAATTATTGAAATTTATAAATAAATTGTACCCTTTTCATTAGTGATGAAAAGAATTATAATTTTTTTTTTCAGATTAAATTTTTCAACGGCTTTTTCAAGTAATGCCGTTTCAATTTGTCAATCAGTTGGTCTTGTTGGTATCGAACGTCTCGAATTATCCATTCGTTATCAGGTTATATATCGGAAACCTCCTACTCAAACCCAAAAAAAAAAAGTTGTTAATGCTCTTCACGATAGAATGACACAAACTCCTTATGAAAAACCCTTAACCAGTTTCGATTTAGGAATAAAACCGGAAAAATGGTTTGAAATTGATATAATGGGACAAGGAAGAAAAGCTTTGGAAACTGTCAATCAAAAATTAGGTTAATGAACTTCTAAAAAATAAAAATTTTTTATTTAATGTATATATATATATAAAAATTAATTTGATTAATTTTTTTTATAGGTTTGGCTTTCGACGATTGGGATTTGAATTATTATACCGAATTGTTTCAAAGAAAATTAAAAAGAAATCCAACGAGCGTTGAATGTTTTGATTTGGCTCAATCAAATAGCGAACATAGTCGCCATTGGTTTTTTAAAGGACGAATGGTACTCGATGGAGTTGAAGAAAAAGATTCCCTCATTGACATGATAATAAACACGCAGAATTTTTCTAATAACAATAACGTGATTAAGTTTAGTGATAACAGCAGGTACATATATATATATAATTAAAAAGTCAAATTTAATAAATTAAAAATGATGATAACAATAATAATAATATTTTTGATAGTGCCATCGAGGGTTTTACTATTCAGAAATTTAGACCACAAACAACAGTGAAAGCAGCACCTTTTACTCTTATCAATGGAAAATGTCACTTAATTTTCACTGCTGAAACTCATAATTTTCCGACTGGGGTTGCACCTTTTAGTGGAGCAACCACCGGAACTGGTGGCCGTTTGCGTGATGTACAATGCGTTGGTAGAGGAGGTTACTACATAGCTGGTACTGCTGGTTACAGCGTTGGTAATCTTTATATACCAGGTATCTATTTAATGTTACGTTTTGAGTTTTTCATATTTTAAATACACTTTAAGTAAAGTTAAACAATTTCTTTTTAGGATACGATTTGCCTTGGGAAGACAAAACTTTAAAATATCCAGATAATTTCGCAAGTCCATTGGAAATAATTGTGGAAGCGAGTAATGGAGCTTCAGACTATGGAAATAAATTTGGAGAACCCGTTATTAGTGGTTTCGCTAGATCGTTCGGCCTTAAACTTAAAAATGAAAGAAGAGAATGGATTAAACCAATTATGTTCAGTGGAGGTCTTGGAACGATGGAAGACAATATGATTACGAAAATGTCACCGGAAAAAGGTACTAATTATTATCGATTTAAAAAAAAAAAAAAAGAATAGACATGCTCAAAAAAAGGTTACAGTTTGAATTTATAAAGTCGATTATACATCGTATTGTATAATGTTTCTTAGGAATGCAGGTAGTTAAAGTTGGTGGACCCGTATATCGAATCGGTGTAGGAGGAGGAGCTGCTAGTTCCGTAGAAGTTCAAGGTGATAACGAAGCCGAATTAGATTTTGGAGCCGTTCAAAGAGGTGATGCGGAAATGGAACAAAAACTTAATCGGGTGATAAGAGGCTGCATGGAATTGGGAAAAATGAATCCAATATTAAGTATTCACGATCAAGGCGCAGGTGGCAACGGTATGATTTTTAAATTAAACCCGAACTATTAAATAATTGAAAAATTTCATGTTGAAATTTTAATTTATGATTTCAGGTAACGTCCTCAAAGAACTCGTCGAGCCCGTTGGCGCCGTCATATTCACAAAAAAATTTACTCTTGGCGATCCTAGCATAAGCGCTTTAGAACTTTGGGGTGCCGAATATCAAGAAAGCAATGCTCTTCTGTGTAGAGAAGAAGATGCGCCTCTTTTACAAACAATAGCTGATAGAGAAAGGTGTCCTATAGATTTTGTCGGTGTCGTAACCGGAACCGGAAAGGTGATAATTTATTAATTCATCCACTATTTTTACTATAATTAAATGTAACATTACGCGACTATTTATTTTACCTTTTTCAGGTAGTCTTATCCGAAGAAGAAACGTTTAATGTTTCAAAATATATGGACGGTTCTTGGGAGCGTGAAAACAAAAGACATCCAGTAGATTTAGATTTGGAATTGGTCTTGGGAAAGATGCCTCGAAAGGTAAAATACAAGGTATTTTGTTTTACTTTGGTAAATAATATTTTCAAAACACATCAAAAATTTATTTTTAGGTGTTTAATTTAAATTCTACACAACTCCCTCTTGAAAAACTTAAACTACCATCAAATCTCAC